TTGCCTCCAAAATTTTAAGGAATTCAGACCCATTAGCTTTTGTAACACTATTTACAAGCTTATTACGAAGATTATGGTTAACATATTTTGTCCTTATCTAAATCAGATAATTGGACCCTTCTAAAGTATATTTTTACCCGATATTTTTGTCTTATATCTTGAATAAAGTTGTCATGTTTTCTGTCCTTAAAGTGAATGTTGCTAAATCAAAGGTGTTTTTCTCCGCTACCACTAAGAGGAGTGATATGGGTTTAATTGTCTCCAACACAGGTATCAAGTGAACTGTTACTCTAGATAAATACTTGGGGTTCCCTATGTTGCATGGTCCTCTTCAATACAAGGACTTCAAGTTTTTAGAGGATAAAATCAGTCATAGGTTAGCATCTTGGCAACATAAATTGTTAAACAAGTTTAGTCATTTGACTATGGTTAGATCTGTCCTTAACTCCATCCCAAATTATTATATGCAACTATCTCGGCTACCTTAACCAACTTGTGATTTTATTGATAATATTTTTAGGAATTTTGTGTGGATAGGTAATTTAAACTCTGGTGTGCATATCGTTGGGTGGAATAAAATCATTAAGCCCAAAAAGCGGATGGTCTTGGAATTCGGAAAGCAAGAGAGACCAACACTTCTATGTTGGGTAAGCTAGTTTGAGGTCTGCACTAGAATTGTGATTCCCTATGGGTCCAAGTTTTGAAGCATAAGTACATTAGTGAGGAAACATTCCTTAACATGAAAAAGAAATTGAGATCAGTTACTTAGAATGCAATTATGAAAACTCTCTCTGCTCTTAAATATGGCTTTGAATTTTGATTGAGGGATGAGAACTCCTCTTTCTAGTTTTACAATTGGTGTGGGGTAGAAAAATTAGTAGAGAAGGTTCTCTATGTGGATATATATATATGATTTGAAAATAAGAGTGAATGATGTTACTTGGATGGAAAATGGAACTTCAATTTATTATATACTAATATTCCCCCGATTGTTTGTGACTTCCTGAAAGCGCTTCCCATTTATTTGAATTCTCTGGTGTCTGGTCGCTTAACCTAGAAAGGTAATTTAGATGGCAACTATACAATTAGATATGGATAAATGGTTAAATATACTTGAACTTGTTAAAAATACAACAAACAATAACTCTTGGATCTAGGTGTGAAATATCTCTACTCCTAAGAAGGTTATATTCTTCCCTTGGATGACTTTACACCAATTCTTAAAGGCTGTGGGAAATTATGTATATTATACTTAGTCGAAACTACTCTTTGGACAGGCTTTTTAAAATCATTTTCTAGGGCTAACAAAGACCCACCAAAACACCAGTCTGGATATGATTTTGCTTTAGAATTTCACTTTAACAAGTTGGTAATGGTGGAAATTTGGGAAAGTGAAATTTTAAAGCAAACTCATATCACTCCTTTATATAAGGAGGAAAATTAAGATTAGGAATTTTTTCATTGATTTTCTGTTTCAGAGTAAAAGCCACATCATAAGTAGTTCGATTAAGATTATGGGGATTATGCACAATTTCAAAGTAACGTTGAAAAGCTCGAATCTCTTTGATGTGTATACCTCGACTTTTCTTTGTTTTATTTTATAGGCAAGAAAAATCATCTGTTAAATGTTGAATTAAAGTTGAATTATCCACAACAACATGATCGTAATAGGCAGACCACTAATCTTCAAATTCCTTGGTGCAGTGAAAATAAGGTTCAAATTCGAAAGGACTCAAATTAATGACTTTTTAGCGTGAAAGTCTAAACACTCCTTATAATATGCCTCAATTGGTGTATTTGTAGCCAGAAATGTTTCATCTTCTTTGGTGAAAATGGTTTTTGGCAGGAATTGGCTAAATTCAAATTGGCAGGGTTGGTAAGCGACAAGCCAAAAGGCAGCTTCACAGTTGAAATTCTAGTCGACAAGATAGTGGATTTGAATAATTCCACCCAAACATCGAGAGCTTTAATTTGGCTTTCATGCGAAGAGGCTAGAAATGTTCTTCTGAACCACTCTGGCCCATAGGTTCGACTGGTAAGTAGTGTAATAGTAGAGACAAATTTATTACAATTCTTAAGCATGAAGAAATACTTTTCAAGAGTTCTTTTAGTAGAAGATTGAATGTTATCTAGGGTCATCCGTCGAGCCTTATACCTTTGTCTCGTCTTTCCAAATTAGGCGAAACACCAATTTTTAGAATGGGTTCAAAAGCGGTGTTGAGGCAAAGCTATAAGATTTAGATAGGGCCAGAGGTCAGGAAGTTCTCCTTAGGGCTTGTTCAAGTTTTAAGGTCACGAGAAGCCATTCCTAAAGACTTATAAAGGTAACCTAAGATTAGTTTACTAAGAAAAATGTCCTTTTTCTCATGAATCTGAGTTGTAAGAGGTTGAAAATTCTTGTCTACTTGGAGGGAGCTAGAACAAAAAATGAAATGGAATAGCCATAGAGTGAGAAAAGAAATTTGCTCAAAGTCAGAGACTTCTTTAGTTTTGTCATTATGGTCTTTGATGTTGTTGCTGAAGCTAGGAAGGTCGAAAGTAGAATTGGGTTTGATCTGGTGTTTAAGATTGGGGTTGAAAGTTTCCCTGATCGGTCGAAGACCAATAATAGCAGTAATGTCTAAAGGAGTGGAAGTGATCATTCCACATGGTAAATAGAAAGTATTAGTTGAAGACTCTCAAAAACGAATGGCAGCTATAAGCATGTTAGAGTTATACTTGGGTCTAGTTTTTGATAGTTGAATCAAGTAAAAAATACCTTGATCTTTTCAAGTTTGTTCTTTCTTATTTTCTACTTTGTGCAACCAATTAAGATAAACATCACAGTTGGTGGAAGGAGAAGAATGAAACACACAATTGGAATGCTCCATGAACCCCAACTCAAACGCACGAGGTTTGCTTGATGGTGAAATGGGAAGAACTCTTCCAGTTTGGTTGGTTTCATGGATGATCTGAGCAAAGGACCCAGAAACGCATGAATAATACATGTAAGAGAAAAAGGGGTCAATACATGAGAAACCCAAATGACATATTTCTCTTTCTCCATTGTAGGTTCTGGGACATAGTTAGGGTTGTTAGTAAGGATGTATCCTTGAAGATTATCAATAGAAGAAATTAAGAGTTGTTTTTTCGTGCCAGAAGAAGAATCCATTGTTTTGAACTTGATTAGAAAAGAGTGATGATGGAAGTTTGGAAAACAAAAGCTCTTAGGGTTCAAAAAAGAAAGCAATCTTGTGAAAAGGAAGAAACAAGGAGAAGAGAGTATATATAGCTGTATGAAAAGAGAGTCTTTAGTTTCCTTTCGAAATCAAAACAATTGGCGTTTTGATTTTTGTTTTAAAGTTGTTAATTAATGTTTTTCTTTATATTTTAATACAGTTAATTCTTGTGGCCCACGATGATTTTAGAAGTTGGAATCGTGATGGAGATTGTATGCACAATCGTTGATGTAACGGTTAGGTGAAAGTGGCTATGATGATGGTCACGTATGCATAGTGATCTGAACAATGTCTGGAGTGTACTAAAAATGTCATCTTCCTTCCATATTGCAAACATGATCAAAAGTGAGATTTTTGAGGACATTTGTTAGCTTGAAATTTTTGACTCAATATGTTCGCCAAGAACGGAGGAGAGATAAATATACATGCTAAATACATATAGCTAAACCATGTTTTTAACACCAATATCACAAGATTCGACCGAGAGGATTTTCGACAGAGGCAGTTGGAATACCTGAATCTTGACAATGGCAGTTGGAAGATTTGAAGATATTTTTTGACAGAAGTAGCAGTTTCACAACAGTTCAAGGATTGAAGACACATGAAAGCAAAGCAGAGGACAAAGGGTCACGTAATAGTGTACATGTCAAATGTTGGAGAATTGACCGTTGTCGATGATTATGGATGCACATGTATATAAGTCAATTTGATCTTTGTAACAAGCGTTTGCATTCTTCATTGTTGTTCTCTATAAAATTCAAACATCCAAGTTACAAAGATAAAATAATTTGTTAGAAATGTATGAGTTTGCATCCGACTTTTAATCCAAATATTTTTATTTCATCATTTTTATTACTTTTCTTTGTTAACTTTATTTGTACGAACAAACATTTCTCTCAAACATCTAACACAATATATTTCCTTACGTTGTTTTGAGTTTAATCTTTTAAATAAATTAAAACTTGTGATTTAATTAACTAAACACAACAAATACATAATCTACAAAATAAAGACAAATTATTTTTTAAAAAAGTAAACGGTTAGATATGTCAAAAGCTAATTCAAAATTTGAGATTACCCTCAAACAATTATACATTCAATATTCCAACAACCTAAGAAATGTGAGTATTCAAATAAACTCCAACATCATTCCTACGAACTTCCAACATAAACAAATCATAAATTTCTACTTCTTCCAGAATCAAAGGGATGAGAGTGATCAATATCAGGAAGTTTAAGTTGCACCCCTGCAACCTCCTCCAATGAGTTGAAGAATCTTTGATCATCATCCTCAACATGTACATTGATGCAAGAACCCCTTTTCAGCTTCATTTTCACCAGCCTCCTTAGCCAAACAAACCATGCGCAGTCAATGCAAAACCTCAATCAATCAAAGGATCTCATCATTTCCCCTCTATTAACTTGAAGCCATGTTTATATGGTATCTGGTGCATAGTGACACAACACCTACAAATGTAGTTATTGTCAACTACTTCTGTTTTCTCAGGTGTTAATTGTGTCTTGTGTCCATCTCAGCTCTTCAAGGAAAACCCTTCCTTCACCATCCTAGAAATACAATGCAGCACAAGAAATGATAACGTTAAGAGATTGAATCACTTTAACCCCTCCATTAATGCAAACATTCGACCTCTATATCCCACCATCTAAAACCTCCCAAATTCAAAGATAATCAACACCAACATTTGATTATGGTTCTAGGTAAAATCAAGAATTGCACAGTACATTGAATGAAGCAGAAAGTGATGAAAACGCTTACCAGATTCATGCTAAACAGAATATATCATCAGTCATCAACAAAATATACTGCAAAATCCTCAGAGGAGCATTTTCAAAATCCAAATACGGCAATCTCACCTCCCTCACTCTGCATGCCCCATCACGTCCTCCAACCCGACCCGCACAAACCCGGTTCACATCCACCTTCCTGAAGAGATAAACAACACCGCCGCCGCGTAAATCCCCGGAAGGGTTTTGCTTCGTTTTGAAAAAGGTCCAACCTTTCCCGGCGAGAATCCGACAAAACCCATCCATCGTATCAACCCGATTACCGTTAACCCGAGAGTATAACGAAACAGAAGAGCAATCCCAGTTACTGACATCTCCGCCGCGTGACCCAACAGCGTCAGAATCCCCGTCGGAGTTAAAAAGAACAACCTTGAAAGCGCGTGGGAAGAGCGTGACGAAATATCGAAGGTGGGTCAGTGGCGCTGTATCAAAAGAAGGAAAAGGAATAGGAACCGCATCATTGAGAAGAGAACAAGAAGCTGAAGAGACAGAGAAAGTAGATGTAGACGGCGTTGAAGGTGAAGAAGAAGATGTTGATGGTGTAGAAGATGGGTTGGAGAAGATAATGTGAGAAAGCGATGGTGTTGGGTGCAAATCCATTCCTAAATCTCTTGCAATGGTGGCAAGTCGATATGTGTTTGTTACGATTTCTTTGGTCGGGAGAAACAAAAGAGCGTGTCTTTTTTTGAATGGTTTTTTTGTTCTGGTTCTTGTTGTTTCATTGGGTTGTTGTTGTTGTTGTTGTTGATGGGGATGGTGATTTTGATTAAGAAAGTGAGAGTTGTTGTTGATGGAGATGGATTCACCTAAGATGAGAGAGCGAACCAGCTTTAGTGGAAGCATCTTTTTCTTACTAGGTTCTTTGCTTTGTGTGTGTCCTTCACATACAAGATATGCTTATCATGTTTGGTCGCTTTCCTTTCCTTTTCTTTCATTTCTTTGACTCTTGTGAAGTAACCTTTTGAATTCATATGTTTTTTTGGTAAACAACAAAAAAATGGTCCTTAGGCTAACAATTTAGGCCTTCATAATGCCAATGTCAATTTGTTCATGCCATTTCTTCTCCCACTATAAGTGATGGAAATTTTTGTATGGAAATCATAAATTGTTCATCTGAATTTGAAAATATATTTTCCAAGACATTCATTTACATTAAGTTGAGTCACTTTTTTATTTTTTCTAGAAATTAGTCTCAAAATATAGTTGTATTCCCTTTATATACACCACATATGTTTTGTTCGGAAATAATATATACAAATGAATCCATTCAAAATTCATAATACTGTCAAAATAACATAGTAACAAACGATAATATTATCAGTAATTCATAATACTAATACTATACTACTGTGTATATTAGACCTCTATCTATGTTCACTACCTCATGTATTTCAATGTCATCTGCGTCTCAGAAAGAATGACTTCTACAATTATTCTCCCAAGAGAGTTTAAGTCTCCTCTGTCCATACTCTCTCATTCATAATATGACAATATGCATGCAACACATTAACGATATAATATATCATAAACTGTTCCTCCTCTAATTTCTCATAATAAGTTGTAATAGATGAATCTCCCTCAACATGTTTAGAGGTACAAGATTCACATGCACCCCACCCTCATTTTTTTTAATAGAACGGACAAAAATTTTAGCCTTGTACCCACAACTATATTCGTCCTATCCACCTTGTTTTTATGTAAACTTTTACATAATGCGGGAACATTTGCTTGCCATCATCCCTATTAATAATATTGAAATTTAGTGTGTTCAGTAATAAGACATTGTTTGAAGGACGAACTTGTAAAATATTTTACAAAGACATGATAAAACAAAATATTCAAATTCTAATATTAAACTCAAAGCACTTTACCAAGTGAAGGGTTATTATAGTTGTTGACTTTTTTTTTTTTTTGGGTCTAAATTTCTTGGTAAATGATGTTTCTTACAATCTGGACTATATTTTCACATAGTAATAATAAAAAAATTTGTGTTTTACTTTATCATGCTAATAATTATGTTGGCTTACAAAATGGAAGCAAGCATTGGATTGTGAAATTTGAGTCGGTGGATGAATCATTTTCTTTTCATCAATTGATCCTTGAAATATCTTATACCAATTGAACAACTTGGGTGAGTGTTACATTACTTTAATTCATACGCACATGTTGAATGTGAATGTCTGGTTAGATAAACAAACTTTTATATTTTGTCACTTTTGTCTTGAAACAATTGTATATAATATGTCTCTGTCAAAAAACAATATTAATCTTTCTTGATATCTCGTCGGTCATTTGTGGTTTAAACTCGTGTACTGTCGCTGTTGCTAAGAAGATTTTTCTATTTTTGTTGTTGTGTACTCTTAACATATTGTCAATGCTGAACCTTCAAATGCTTTACAACAATATCCTTCTATTTTAACATATATTTGTATTTTATGAGATACATTGTTAGCAACACTTTGTTTCTTGTGATGCAAACAAGAATACATATGTAATGGAAAAGATGAAATATTTCACTAAAAGTGATTAATTATTGAATTGATTGAAACCAAAAGTATACAATAGCTTTATATAGTTTGTTGATCAATTAGCCAACCCAATTAACTAATAATTAAGTTACTTAGTTGATAAAGTCGCTAAACACAATCATTAAACAATCTAGGATACAAATGACCATGGATTAATATTTAACACATCTTAATTAGTCAATAAATTTAAGTATGCATCAATTCTAATTGTTCTCTCAACAACACAAATCGGTCTATCTTTAATGTCTTTGTGAATCCATTAGCTGACAACAATTTTGTTGAAAAATATGAAACTTCAAGCATTTCATTCATGACTTGCTCTCTTATGAAATGAAACTTAGTCTCTATGTGCTTGCTCCTCCAGTGTGAAATTGAAATTTTGGCAATATTTATGGTTAATTTGTTGACAATTATAAGCTTTAAGGGTTTCTACACTTTATTGCACCTCTTTAATAATGAATCCAACCAAACTGCTTGACATGAAGCAAATGAGCCAACTATTTACTATGCCTCGTATGTTGAAAAATTTGTGACAAGTTGATTTTTTGTACACTAAGAAATTACAACATCATTGTTTTTTATAACATAATTTGAGGTTCTCTTTCTATCACTTTTTTCACCACACCAATAAGAATTTGAATAACTTATACCTTCTTCTCTTTCACAATAGTTGGAAACAGCAAATCAAGTCTCATGATTTTCTCAAGTACTTAAGTATTTTCTTTGTCGCCACTAGATGTGATTTCCTAGGCTCATTCATGAACTTGTTATTTATACTTATTGTATAGCATATGTCGGGTATGCTATTGCATAAGTACCTCAATAATCCCATAATTTGCTTGTAAAATATTGCTTCTACCTTCTCTTATGTTAGAATAAGATTTGTTCTTGATATTTTCTCTTTTAGTTTTGATGATAACAAAAGTATTAAAAGAATAATGGTTTATTTGATGTATGTTTTATTTATGCAGGTTCTTGTTCATGTACATAAATAATCAGAATCTATTTACTTAAGATACACTTGGAGTTGTTTCATTGCTAGCTTCTGGTGGGAGAGTTTGAAGAACAATGTCTAGTATAGATTGCCGAAGACTCTGAGTTGAAGGCATCACCACTCAGACGAGTTTCTACACTTAGCAATTGTATACTCGTACTACTGAAAGCATGTTGTATTGTCTTATCATCCTGTTAGCTCGAGTCTACAAGATCACAAGGCTAAAGAAAAGCTGGTACGTTCTATGGATGACTGTTCCCAACGACTCTATTAGTACAGAGTCTCTTGAAGACTCAAAGGTTAAACGTGTTACACAAAGGATTCAGAAATATGTTGTGCATCCATCTTCAACATCTCTTGTACTATAGAGCACAAGCAAAGACACTTGATCAAGTCACCTTCTCAACGGCTAGTTTCTGAAAAGGCTATATGTATGGTGAAGATTCAAGCCTGAATTTTCAACAAGGATTATTCTGTTGAAGGAGTAACAAGATCAAACAATTATAAACTCTATGTAATAGGCAGATTTTCTGTTGTAGGTTGTAATTATAAAAACCTTAAGATTTCTTACCCCTGTATTTTATTAAAAATCTTAAGTGCTTTAGGTCTTTGCTATGGTGATCTCCCGTGCCTCTGATGCTCGCATCATGTACACCTTATTCTCTATTTTGTTGAGCCTTCAGTAGTTTAGATTAAGCCTCCTGCTATGTGCTAGAGAAAAAAGTCTTGTCTCATTGAGATTCAAGCAACAAGTCTTGAGTCAAGATGCTTAAGCCACGTAAGTTTCATTGCTTAAGTGCTTGAGTTGTGAAAGTATTATTGAGCTAGTCTGATTGAGCAAAAATAAAATCTTAGACATGTGCTCTAAGCAAAGGTAAGTCTTATCCTGAAGACAGATGAGCAGGTGGCTCATTCCGATGGTGTGAGTAAAGTAAAGTCTTAGACATGTGATTTAAGCAAAGAAAAGTCTCAGCCAGAAGACAGATGAACACGTGACTCAGTTAGATGGTGTGAGCAAGGGTAAATCTTAGACATGTGCTCTAAGTAAAGTGAAGTCTAAACCAAAGAGCAGATGAGCAGGCGGCTCAGTCTGATGGTGTGAACAAGGTTAAGTCTTAGACACGAGCTCTAAGCAAGGGAAGTCTCAAACAATTGGTATGAGCAGTTGTAAAAGTCTTATGCAGAAACATAAGCGATTGTAATTATGAAGTGATTATAATGAAAAGCTCTTGTGAGGCAGGGGATTGGACTACTCTCAGTTAGGGGAGAAACCAGTATAAATCTTTTTTGTCTTCTTCTATTATTTATTTACTTCTACTGTATCCGCTGCCAACTGAATTAACTCAGAATTTGAACATCAGTTCTAATTCTGAGACTCTAATCAGAAGCTAAATAATAAGAAAAACGTGAAACACAGTTCAACCCCCTTCTTGTGTACTTTTCACACTTTCAATTGGTATCAGAGCATGGTCTGTGATTAACACTTAACAGTGGTGCATATATTAATCTAATAAGAAAATTATATTTCTTCTTCAAGAAGGAATCAAGTGCCACATGAATAATATCATACGGCTTTTTCTACCATATTCAAATGGGTGATTCAATTGAATTTAAATGATGGAAAAGCTAAATATATTTTTAACTCATTGGACTTGATAAAGGATTGTTGAAGGTCTATAGAATATCCTTGAAAAAGGTATTACTATAGAAGTTAGTGGTGTTATATATGATCTTTTTGAAAATCTGTTTCACCAACTCAGAAGATGCATATTGAATATGTTTAGAGATAACTGCATTCTAGTAGATGCACTATCTCACTTCTGAGTATATCAATATCATTGATATGTCTGATGCTTGGACTATCTTTGATGTCTTGTGCTTGGGTTTGTGGGGATCAATTTGTGAAGCTTGAAGTAGTTACACTTCATCTAATCTTTTTAAGCAAATTCTGAGAGGATTGTTTCTTGACTTAAATCTAAAGTCACAGTTTTTTTTGGTGTTTACATTCTGAATTTGCTGTGGTCTGAAGATTTGTCTTGCAATCTTTAAAGAAAAGAAATGAAGCTGGATGATGAAAAACTATTCAACATATCATCTTCTCTTATTTAGCTTAAGTTCTTTGGAATGACTAATGATGAGAAACTTAGGTTTCTTGTCAGAAGAACTTTCATACTAGCTGAATGATTTGTGATATCTGTTGATAGAAGAGTAACTTCAAGTGCTTTTGAAATATGTGTATTTCAACTGATTTTCCAAATCTAAAAGCAAGAAGAAAATTCTAAGTGAACATAATGTCAGATACTCTTCAATGATTAATCATT